TTTTCAATTGTGGTCTATAGAGGACTACACAATTAGATTTTTTTTATTTTTTAGTCCATTTGAACCCCTAAACGTACATTTTAAGAACAACAGGCTTTAATTTTGACCCTAACCCTACCGCCATACAAAATTTCGTGAGGATCGGACGATAATTGCGACATGTAAAAATTAAAAAAAAAAAATAAATACAATTCAAAATTGGAAGTCAAATTGAAAAAATCGCATGCAATAAAAAATATGACAAAAATTTGAAAAAATGAAACAAAAGATATTAACTTTTTTATTGCTATATTTTCCGCGAATTTCCTAGATTTTATGCGTTTCTGGCAAGAGACCATTTCGAATTCATGGGAATTGTGAAAATCGGCTCAGCGGTTCTTCACTTATAAGCAGAATAAATAAGATCAATTCTTTTACAAATATATTGTACTTATTTTCCTATACATCCGATTTCTTGGCTATTAGCATCACTGTAATAGTCAGAAGTGGTCTTTTAATGTATTTGTGATTTGGCTGGGACTGAAAATATTCGCGGTTTAATGGAAATTTTCCTATTTTCTTACATAAAAGTTAGGGTCTATTTTACCCGCTAATTATTGTCCGATGGCCGCCCAACTTAGTAGGTTTCTGTTCACTCCTAAACTCTAACTCCATGTAAATTTTCGCGTAGATTGGTTCATAATTGTGGCCTATAGTGCAACTTCAAAATCAGGAAATTTTTCTATTTTTAGTCCATTTCAACCCCAAATATCGTGCGATCAATTCCAAAAACAATAGGGTTCTATTCTGATCATAACCCCACCTCCAGTTTCAATTTCGTGAGGATCGGTTCATAATTGCGAATTGTAGCTTGATTACAAATTAACATGGACAGACGGACAGACTGACGGACATATATAGCTAGATCGACTCATCTCGGCGAGATAGAAAACCAATATTTCGAGGTGTTACAAGATTTTCGGCCCAATCAAACTTATAATACCCTCAACACAAAGTGTTGTAGGGTATAAAAAGTGTGATGTACAAGATGAGATAAAAACAACTGCAACAAAGTCAAACGCCATAATTTTTTCATATTTTTTTTAAATTTTATTGAGTGAATGCAAAAATGTCTGAAAAAGCATCAAATTTTAGAATAAGTTTAGATTTGTTCGAATTGGTCACCTTTGGCACGAATTACGGCCTTCACACGGCCAATGAAACCGTCACACGCTGCCCGAATATTGCTCTGCTGTATTTTGGTGATCGACACTTTGGTATTTTTTAGTGCCAACTTTGCTTTTCAAAATACTCCAGACACAGTAAACCAACGGATTGGTATCCGGAGATTTTGGAAATGTGCGCTGGAAATGAAGCGAGGAACCTCATTTTGTCGTGTGCCAGTTCAAACTGTTTGCAAGAAGTAATCCATAATCAATGCTTACTCCATTTATCGAGAAATAGTCACTCATTTGGCATCATCATTATACCAATACATGAGAATTGGCTATGGGTGTGACACACAGAGTTTTCGTTTCTGTTGACAGATCAGGCTCGCTGCTGTAAATGACTTGCTTAAAGAGTAATTAGTGAGTTTTGAAATAATTGACTCTCCTCATTTACTCATTAGCTTCAGTGGGTGGTAATACGTTGAGATATGAGCGTTGTCCCGCAGGAGCTTCGAGCTCACTGTTTCAAACGAAATTTAGAGTAATAACGTAGAGGTAGCCCTTGACCGTAGCATAGTCAGACAAACTAATCTACGAAAGCTAACTTGCGATCATAAACTCCACGTAAACGACCCAAAAGAACTGTGAGGCGAATACCATTCAGCAGAGTTTTCGATTGTATCCCGAATAGCGAAATTATCTACAACCCGGACATCGTCATCGTGGTCCCCGACAACCGTTCACCAGGGTTCCCCATTATTTGTAAACCGAAGATCATTATCATAATTCACGAACACCCGTGGACGCACATCACAATATTTTTATTATTCTAAGGTCTGGTGTGAAGATGGAGTATTTCGGTCCACTCCTTCTGGTACCTACCCCACAAAGGGTCAACATTTTTAATATTCATGAAGCTCATAAAACACAAAATTAGCATCAGACTTGGCACCTCTAAATATTTCCATCAACAAAGGATCTGTTATAAAGATGGTAGAGATCGGACGATTCCTTCTGGGACCTCCCCCATAAAGGTTCAAAGTCTTGAATAACCAAAATGATCATAAAATCAGAAATAAGCATCCGGTTCTCTTCAAATAATACACATCGCAATATTTTTTATAAACGCATTGTCTGTAAAGATGCGATATATCCGTCTACTCTTTCTGGTACCTCACCCACAAAGGGTCCAAAAAGGTCAATTTTATCAATAAAGCTCATAAAATGCGAAATTAACATCCGATTTTATTCAGACCTGGTACATCTCAATGTTTCCGTCAACACAAGATGTGTTATAATGATGGTAAAGATCGGACAGTTTATTGCAAAACGCTCAAATAAAGAGAAATAAGCATCCAACTCTCTTCAAATTTCACGAATCCAAGTATTTTTGCTAACACAAGATCTGTTGTGAAGTTGATATATATCTGCTAATCCTCATCCTCACCCACAAAGGACCACAATAATTATATCTCTCATAACTTGCGAAAAAAGTCGGGAATCTTTATAACTTGCTATATCTTAATATGATTTATGATTTCGCTTAAAATTGTCCGATTTCTTCCAAAATTTGTCCCTACCAATATTTTTATCTGCATTAGATGTTAGCTTACGCATATTTCCACATTTTCCAAAAATTTGCACTTATCTTATATAAAGTATAGGATATAGTCCAAATCTGGCACATTGTAATACTTATATCAGTCTTAGGTGAGATACCGGAACCTCCCCCCCCATAAAGGGTCAACAATTTCAATAATCATAACTCAAGGCTGGGGGTATACATCTGTCGGCAAAACCGACTGATGTTATTTTACTTGTTTGTTCTTTCCTTTGTGCTTTTTTATCTGACATCCGCTTTTAATAACATTAGCACTAACAACAAAGCAAAACAGATCGAAACGATACCATTATTGTGAATTAATACCAGGATAAGTCCAACGTCTGATAATACGATAAGACAATAATCCCACTGACATGTCTGCACATTTAGCCAAAGAAATTAATTGGCTGTCGAACAATGCGACCGTGGAGAAACCTTCCAAACGGTCACGCTTGAATACCATTTGTGTAAATAAATGCTAATAAAGCAACACGTGTCTGGTATTAATTTGTCAGACAGTGGACAATGAATTGGATTTCTTTCTATTTTCTTATTTCAAAAAAAAAAAAAAAAAAAAAAAAAAAAACATGTCGGAACTTTATTTTTGAGTTTTCAAAACTTCAATCATTAAGACATTTAGTTCAGGGTTTTAAAAGTTATTTTAACCAGGAAGAAAAGTGCCAAAATTGAAATTAAATTTGGCATTCTTTCTTCTGGGAAATCTGGTCACTTTTGTAATATTCCAATTGACATTTACATCTCATTAAGGCTCCATTAGTTCCAAAGTAAAACAAGTAAAAAAGCTTTTAGTTCGGCCGGAGCAAACATTGAATACCCTCCACCATTTGGATAGAATTTAGCAATTTTCAAACAAATAAAATCCGTTAAAAATTCGGTTAAAATCTTAAAAATACCGAATGTAGGCGTTATATTAGGGTCTATACGACGACGTGGACCTGCAGAGGCCACATTTGTCATAAGCCATTACAATTTTCAAATACGAAACTTGAAAAAAAAAACCGGTGAATAATGTAGCTAAAATCATCAAAATACGGAATTACGGGAGGCTCCGTTATATGAGGGCTATACGAAGATGTGGACCTGCACAGATAATTTCTGTCATATCTGTAGTATCCATTTCGAACTTCAAATACCTAATTTGAAACAATTCCGGTGAATAATGTGGCAAAAATCATCAAAATACCGAATATCGGGAGGTACCGTTATATGGGGGCTATACGAAGACTTGAACCTCCACAGATACTTTCCTGTCATAGGCTGTAGTATCAATTACGAACTTCAAATTCCTAATTTGAAAAAATTCCGATGAATAATGGCGCTAAAATCACCAAAATATCGAATAGCGATATGGGGGCTATACCAAAACGTGTACTTACATGGCCCATTTTCAATACCAAAAGTCCTGCAGATACATTTGAGTAAAATATTATCAACCTTTTCCATTTCGTCTGGAAGCTCGAGTGATTTCCACAGACGGGCATCGCTAAATGGACATAGTGGGGTCTAAACTGTATATTTCGAGGTGTTACAAACGGAATGACAAACTTTATATACCGTTCATACTATCGTGGAGGGTATAAAAATGACAGCAATGCAAAGTAATACATTATTCAAACAGAATAAAATCAATACAACCCATGTGTTTGCGTTGCAAAATGAAAGAAAAGAAATAAAACACAATATTTAGAATTTTATTTTAAAACAGTCGTGGACTGATATTTTATTGAATAATTGTTCGTGGAACAATTAAATTACCTTTTTTACAGGATGTAGGGGTTTGATGCTTTCTGGTCGTGAACCAATGAGCGAGTGTTTTTAGCGAATTAAAAAAACTAAGATGTCGCAAAGCGGGGTTTAAAAAGCTACTCGTTACATTTTGTAACTACATTTGTCTTTGTCTACGAAGTAAACAAAGACGTATAAATGAGTAGTGGACAAAATGTAACGAAGGGACAAAAAAGGACCCGTGGGGAAAATTCAAATCAAATGAATGATAATTACTTTGAAACTATTCATTGCCGCCCGCGTTGCAACATCCTGCTGTTGCAAAATTATAAAAAAAAAGGTATATAAGTGTACATTTTTTGTTGTTGAATTTTTCTTATTTTTATTTATTATTTATTTATTTTTTTTTTTTTTACTTTTTTTTCAAAAAACATTTTACAATGATACAAGTTTTTGCTCGTAGAGCAGAGATCGTAATTGGCTCGTAGAGACCAGATCTATAAACTTGTTTTTTTTTTATAACAAATGACTCGTAGAGTCTTGTGACGAGGGCTCGTAGAGCCAGAGGCAATTGAAGATTGCCCCTCACAGGGTTTTAGATATTACATGGGCCCGAAATTACCCAGCCAAAAATGGTGAGCTGGGCCCATGGGAAACCAGGGCTAGAATAGGTCTGAGGCTTCATTACCTTATGGTAGACTTCTGGGCCTAAAACCAAACTGACTGCGGCTGTTTCGTAGAACCGAGGATCGGCAAGTTGCAGGCCAGCATAATGGTCTTTTAGGCCCTCGGACACAGACTCCGAAGGAGATATGAGGTGCGCCAGATTTATCACTCGCGCCGACAAAGAAATGCGTTGCGTACCGTCGTACGAAGAGGCGACGGACAACTGGCAGAATCTTTCTGGACCCACAATTACAGGACACAGTCCAAGACAGTCGGCCAAAGACCGACAGATCAAACTGTGACCTGCACATGGGTCTAGAAGTGCCCTGACAGGTATCCGGTTGTTGGCCATAATGACCTGTACCACCATCGTAGGCCCAAGCGTAGCTACAGACTGGATGGCGGATACAGGCCGGGGTGCCACCAAATGTGCCGCATTATGTCGGGGAGCGATGCCGGGACCAAGAATTGGAAGCTGGGAAATATTAGCGGACGGACGTTTCGAAGATCTACGCTTGCGTAGTTTTTTGGACGGTTTCGAGTTGTTGGGGTGATTTTGAAGGGATGAGCGCACTGGCGTTTTATCTTGGAGAGAAGGCTGATGGAGCAACGTATGATGTTGCTTGTTGCAAACAGTGCAACAACGCCGACTGGTGCAATCTCGTAGAGAATGCGTTGACGCCAAACAATTGCCGCAGCATCTGTGAAGTGCGACTGTTCGAAGCCTTCTCTCAATGCGCATCACGCGAAACTCTTTGCAATCACGTAAGTGATGCTTACCGTCGCAAAGAACGCATGCCGTACTCGAACCCTGGTTGTTTCGGCAGGGGGCCGAAGAAGGTGGCGTGACCACAGTGTCTCCTGAAGGAGCTTCAGGGACCGTCGTAGACGGATTTTCAGATTTTAAATTTTCCTCCGAGGGAGGAACAGCTTCAGGGGGCCCAGTTACCATCGGTTCATCGGAGATGGGGGTAATCATGGCATCGAGCTCCCTTTCCTCATCGGACATGGGGACGTCGTCCTCATAATCGGGGAGAGTTGCAGCCATCTTTCCTAAATTTTCCATCTTCTGTGAAAATAGAGAGGATGCAACAATACAACGATGAGGAGTGAATTATTGAAATTATTGGCCAGGATGACCATCAAAAACCGTAGGTCGTTTTAAATTGTCATGGCCCAAGAATTCGCGACGCGTTCGCGGCCATCAATTAAAATTTTTTTCCTCTCGCGAAAAAATAATGAGGGTACAAATACGAATCGAAAAACATGGACTATGACAATTATGGTAGCGCAATTAATTTTACAATTGGCCGTCGGATAGTGCCATTTTCCGTATGGATATCTGCGACTCGTACTCGACCATCAGAACCCGGGTGCACCGCTATAATCCGTCCTAATTTCCACGAAGTGGGAGGAAGATTTTCATGCCGAACCACGACTAAATCACCCTTCTGTAGATCGCGTTGCGGAAACTTCCATTTATATCTTTTGTGTAAACTTTTCAAATACTCATCTTTCCACCGTAAGCAGAGTTGCTGAGTAAATGCTTTCAGTTTCCGAAACCGATTTACAAGATGTAAGGGCGACTCTTCAATTACTGGCTCCGGAGGAGCAAGGATTGGGGCTCCAATGAGAAAATGCCCTGGTGTCAGTGCTACTATATCTTGGGGGTTGTCATTTATGGGACATAAAGGACGTGAATTTAAACAAGCTTCGATTCTGGAAAGAATCGTAGAAAGCTCTTCAAACGTAAATTTGAAGTTCTTAGCTTGCTTTCGAAAATGTAATTTAAAACTTTTTACGGCGGCCTCCCATAGACCACCCATATGGGGGGCGCCAGCGGGAATAAATTGCCATGAAAGTTCCTGATACTGCAATGTGGAACACAAGTTAGTACGACTTTCACGGAGAACTGTTTTAAAATTATTTTCTATTTCCCTAGAAGCTCCAACGAAGTTGGTGCCGTTATCAGAAAAAATTGTTTTTGGACAACCGCGTCTGGAGATAAAGCGATGAAAGGCCGCTAAAAATGTTGTCGTAGACAAATCAGAAGTAGCCTCAAGATGTATTGCTTTCGTAGAAAAACAAACAAAAACACAGACGTAACCTTTGGTGATTTTAGAAAAGCGGCCTGTAAACGATTTAAGGTCGAAGGGACCTGCGAAATCAACACCAGTAGTGGTGAAGGGTCTAGATAATACTGTTCTTTCCGGAGGAAGGGCAGCCATTATCTGAGAGCAAGACCGTTTTTTGTCCAAGAAACATGTTTTACATTTAGTTATAGTTGTTTTAATTAGTGATGTGAGTCGTGGGACCCAATATTCAATTCTAATGATGCGTAACATCAGTTGATTTCCACCGTGGATGGAAATAACATGTATGAATTGAAGTAGTAAGTGCGTGAAACGACTTTGGCGAGGCAGAATAATGGGATGCCTTTCTGTGTAAGACAGAGTAGGTGATTGCGACAAGCGTCCATTAAGCCTAATTACCCCGAATTCATCCAGAAATGGATTTAAGGGTAAAAGAGAACTCTTTGCATTTAAGGGAACCTTATCTGACAAAGACTGGTACTCATCTGCAAAGTGGACTTTTTGAGATAAAACAGCCAGACGTAATCTAACCGCTTTTATCTCTGAACTAGTAAGGGCCTTCTCATTGTAAATGTGTCGACCTCTATGAGCAGGATGAGTCCGATGGAAAAATCTAAAAACATACGAGAGGACTCGAAGAGCCCTATCTAACGAAGAGAAATCTTCTAAGGGGTCACAATAATTATTGAAGAAAGAGGCATGAGTCTTGACAGCACGCTTTTCAATTTCGGTGTCAAGCTGAGGAAAACTGGATAAATCCCAATGATAACTATTTTGGCGTAGCCAATGTGGTCCATTCCACCAAAGATTAGAGGAGGCGAGCTCGGAAGGCGAAACCCCCCGGCTGCCTAAATCAGCGGGATTATCTTCAGAGCGCACGTGATGCCAATTACCTACGTCTGTTATCTCCTGAATTTTGCTAACACGGTTGGCAACAAATGTCGTCCACGTAGATGGACTTTTGTTGAGCCAGGAGAGGACGATCGTAGAATCAGTCCAACAGTAAATTTTTTGAAATGAAATGTCAATTTCATCTATAATATTTTTTAATAATTTGGAGGCCAAAACGGCTCCGCAAAGTTCCAACCGTGGTAAGGAAATTGTCTTTAGGGGGGCTACCTTAGTTTTGTAGGTCAGGAGGTGAGTATAAATGTCTTTATTCGGCGTTATAATCCGAATATATATCACCCCCGCGTATGCCTTTTCTGAGGCATCAGAAAAGACATGAAGTTCGGCGGAACAACTTGGCGTATAATGGACCCACCGAGGAACTTGAATGGAATTCACATCCTGGTAGCAATCCACAAAATTTTGCCAATCACGTTCTGTCGTAGACAGAAGTGCGTCATCCCAGCCGATTTTATCTGTCCAGATTTTCTGCATAACAATTTTAGCTGTCACAATTACGGGGCCTAACCAACCTAAAGGATCGAATAGTTTGGCAATAGTGGACAATGTTTCTCGTTTTGTATAGTGAGCTTTGGTGGGGAGAGCATTCACACTAAAGAAAAACAAATCAAGCTGAGCATTCCAACGTATACCTAACGGCTTGGAACTGCTAGCTTCCACAAAAGAAAGAACTTTGGCGTCTATTAAATCTTCCGTAGGAAGATTTTGCAAAATAGCACGGTCATTTGATGTCCACTTCCTCAACTCAAATTTGGCGGACGAAAGAGCAGATCTTAATTGATCGCGAGAATTTAAAGCTGTACGCAAGTCATGATATCCTGTTAGCACGTCGTCGACGTACATGCACCTACGTAGTATGTGTGCAGCGAGAGGATATTCATCGTCAGTATCGTCAGCTAACTGTAAAAGCGTCCGTATGGCTAAATAGGGGGCGCAGTTTACGCCGAATGTCACCGTCTGCAACTCAAAATCCTGAACAGGTTTTTGAGGAGAATCCCGGAAAAGTATTCTCTGTAGGGGAGTATGTGCCGGATCGACACGTATTTGGCGGTACATCTGTGTGATGTCGCAGTTATAAACAAATTTAAATAATCTCCACCTCAGAATAAGAAATACTAAGTCTAATTGCAGAGTGGGACCCACATGTAAAATATCATTAAGACTTTTCCCATTGGAGGTTTTATTCGAGGCGTTGAAAACCACTCGAAGCTTGGTAGTCTGTTTGTCGGGATTTATTACTGGATGGTGGGGGAGGTAACAAACCGTAGAGTTTGTTGACGCGGCAACTACCGGCCTCATATGGTCCAAATCTAAATATTCATTAACCACTTGGTCGTAGACTGCTTTGATTTGTGGCTTTCGAAGAAGAGATGCCTCATTTCGAAGAAATTGTCGTAAACAATTATTACGGGAAAATCCTAAGTTTTCCTGTCCAACTAACTCGGTCTTGAAGGGAAGGCTGACCACGTACCTGCCCTCTGAATCCCGACGTGTGGTACGTTTATAATTTGCCTCACAAAACTGGTCGGAGGGCGACAAAATTGGACGTTTAGGAACTTCCTCCAGTTCCCAAAAACGAAGAAGAACCTTGTTAAGGTTTTCTTCGTCAGATAGACTGACTTTAACGGAAAAGACTGATAGATGTTGAGGGGGAATAGAACCAGTAATGATCCAACCAAAGACCGTATTTTGTGCTATTAGGGAGCCTAATATATTAGTATGAATTCCCTGTAGCAGAATCTTCGAATAAAGATCTGCTCCCAGCAAAAGGTCAACAGGGCGACTGTTGAACAAATTTGGATCAGCCAAACGTAGATTTGGCAAACGAGAAACGAAGTCGCTATTGACAGAAAAAGAAGGCAGATTGCCAGAGATGGAAGGTAAAATCAGTGCAGTAGTTTCCATTGAAAGCGAAGCATCCAATGGAGAACTTATACAAATTGAACACAACTTGCGCGACGTAGTCGAAACTGCCTGATTAATACCAGAAATGGTAGCAACAGTAGTAGTGGAGGCGATGCCTAGTATGTGCTGTAAGCGATCTGTAATAAAAGAAGCTTCTGAAGCAGGGTCAATTAATGCTCTGGCATTGCTGCAGTCGAAGAAGTTGCTGCAGTCGAAGACGTGGAATTATCTCTATGTAATAGAGTGTGATGTCTTTTATTACATTTACTACAATTGTATGGACTACTGCAGTGGTTGACTAAATGTTTAGGAGACAGACAATTTAAACAACAATTATGTCGCCTAATGGTGTTAATTCTTTCAGGAACTGAAAGTTTTAGAAATTTTTGGCATGCTCTGACATGATGCATTTGTCGTGGACATAAAATGCATATTTTATTGGAGGGTGCTCGGGATGGCCTAGATGTTGAAGGTGAATTACGAGGTGTGAAAGTAGGGGATCGGTTCGTGCCAGCATTCGTGAAATGTGAACGAACTTTTTTACTACTTTGCGATTTGACGTTGTCAATACCTCTAATGTCACGAAGGCAGGTAAGAGTTTGGATGCGTTCTGTAAGAAACTTATCCAAATCTTCCCAGGAAGACAAAGCTGATTTATTTTTGATACTTTGTTCCCAAAGTGTGACGCTATTTTTGGGGAGCCTCTGAAGACATATGAACACTAGAATAGGGTCCCAGCCTTCAGTAGACACGTCATAGTTCAACATGGCCGAAATACACCCATTTATGCCTCTTTGCAATTTCTTTAAACCTAAACTTGTCTCACTGTCTAATACTGGCAGGTCAAATAAAAGTTTAAGTTGGTGGTTCACCAAAATACGTGGATTGTCATACGTTTGTTTTAGAGCTTTCCACGCAAGACCAAAGTTTTTGTGGGTAAGTGAAAACTTAGCCACTATGTCATGGGCGTCGCCACTGGTCTTATTGTTTAAATGACATAGACGTTCAATGTCACTAATGCCAGTATTGTTAATATACACTGCCGAGAATAAGTCCCTAAACGTAGGCCAAGAAAGAAAGTCGCCATTAAATATTTCTATGTCACAGGGTGGTAAATTTAACCTATGACCAGAATTATCACCACCACAGGATGTGAGTGATGAGTTATACGATATGGGCGAATGAGGCGAAGCCTCCAAATTCGAAGCTCTATCCTCGGAACGAGGAGTAGGCTGATTGATTGACCTATTACCTACGCTAACCTGAGGAGAAGATGTCGCCATTGATGACTTAGGCGGAGCCCGAAGTTCATCTAACTTCCTGTTTATGGAAGCCAATACTTTTAGATAACATCTAAATGCGACATCGTATTTTGTGTCAGCGGCAGTGATGTCCTCACCTGAACTGTCTTCTTCAGCAAAATAATTAAGACACTTGTCGAAAACGGTTTTCACCTTTTCCCATAACGTTCTGACCTCAGCTCCCTGTAATTCTAAAATATAGACATCGAGCTCGTCGTCCCGTTGGGAACTGAAGTTGGCATCAAATTTAACCAAAGCATCAGTAGCTCGGATGAACAAATCTAGAGGTGTGAGTGGCATTTTATTTTAAATAAATGAACGTAATTCAGAAAAAAAGTTAGAAAAATGTCTAAAGTTTTCGTAGAAAACTGTATTTTGTTTAAGAAAACTGCAGAAAAAGTAGCAAAAACACCAAGAATTCTCAAAAAATTGTTTGAAAAACAATTCTTATAATGAAAATCTTTAAAAAAGATATAGAAATATTTAGCAAAAATATAAAAATCTAGAAAGACTTGCACGAAATGCTTTAATTTCTAGAAATTGACACGTAATGTCGAATATTTTTTGTGAAAATCCAAAAAAGTTAACGTTTTTCACAAAAATATTAATAAAATGTACTTTAAAGCACGTGATGCTTCAAGAAAATTAATGTGTTTTATTAAAAATACACTGATTTTATAATTAGTCGTTGACTAATCGTAATGAAGTATCGTAGATACAGCAAAAATATTGAGGTTTAACGTGATTAAACCACAAAAATGTAGAAATTTTAAGAAAAAAAAAAAAATAAATATTAACTCAAAATTTCTTTCAGTGTATTCCAAATTTTGTAAATTGTTTTCAGTGTATCGTAGAATACACGAAAACTATGACAAAGTATCGAAGATAACAATTGCCAACGAAAAAATATCAAAAATTTTTAATAAAAAATCAAAAATTCGAAAAAATATTAAAAATGTCAATAAAACCGACTGTAGGGTGCACGGACTGTAAGATGCACGTTTTCAATCGGTAGCGGAAAACAACAAAAAAAAGTTAATCAAAAAATGTTTTATAAAAAATTAAATAATTTTTGATTTAATATATAATATGTTATATTATATTTATATGAAAATAATAATATTTTAATAAATAAGACCGGATATAGGGTGCACAGTGTCGAAAACACAAATAAAATTTAATTTTTGTTGATATCCGTAGGATTCAACACAAAAAATCTCCGAAAATGGCACTAAAATATTTTGATCGATATGTTGTATAATATTAGGTAGTGTGAACCCCCTAATAAATTCGATCATATGGTACTTAAATGTAAGTGTCAAATATGTCACAAGGTGGCAACAATCAGCAGAGATGACAATTACTCTCTCATATGGTAATTGTTGTTGTGATGATTTTGGTGTTTTGAAGAAAGAAGAAGAAATAAATGAAAAACAAAACACCAAAATATCAATAAATCAAAATGAAAAATAGAAGAAATGCGCGAAATGGAATAAAATGCAGTTCAAAATGGAAATGAAAACGAATTCACTGTGATTGTGTGTGTGATTTTTTGTCGTAAACAAAAAATAGTGACGGACTTGACACTTATTGTTGTTTTTTGAAATGAAATTTACCGACGGCAAATGGACGGACGGACGCGCTATAAAACGACCGACGGCTTTTTAATTAATTTTCACAACACGGAAGCACTGTACAACACTTTTTATTTGTAAAATAAATAAATATGTGTACATACCTGTGTTGCTGATATTAATTTATTTGAAAAAATAAATAAAATAAAAATGTTGTGGGTGATCGTTGATCTTTGTGTGGGTGTTGTTGTTGTCCTCGACGAAGTCGATGTTTGCCTTTGTAAAAGGAGAAAAAGGGAGACGGGTTAATTTTCGTTGAAAATAATCCGGCTCGATTGGACCAATGTTTGCGTTGCAAAATGAAAGAAAAGAAATAAAACACAATATTTAGAATTTTATTTTAAAACAGTCGTGGACTGATATTTTATTGAATAATTGTTCGTGGAACAATTAAATTACCTTTTTTACAGGATGTAGGGGTTTGATGCTTTCTGGTCGTGAACCAATGAGCGAGTGTTTTTAGCGAATTAAAAAAACTAAGATGTCGCAAAGCGGGGTTTAAAAAGCTACTCGTTACATTTTGTAACTACATTTGTCTTTGTCTACGAAGTAAACAAAGACGTATAAATGAGTAGTGGACAAAATGTAACAAAGGGACAAAAAAGGACCCGTGGGGAAAATTCAAATCAAATGAATGATAATTACTTTGAAACTATTCACCATGTGTTTGGGTTACATTTTGGGTTTCCCAAGCCCAGAAAAGGTATATTTTAGGAATCTGGGGGCACTCTTCAAATTATTGAATTAAAGTTTCTAAAAAACCCCGTTTTCATCCAGTTCTCCTCGACAAATTGAAATAGCTTTAGTTGCAATAAATTCATTTTCTTCCACTGTCCAATATCCGGGAATTTTCACATTTCTTTGCCAAGGCAAAGAAACTGACATTTTCACATAATTTATAGCCATTTTTAACATAAACATCCTATAAAAGCAGATCAGCTCTTTTGCGATTCTCCTCTGCATTTGCATTAATTTTTATTCGTTTGTGTTTTACGTTCGTGGTTAAAATGCCTCGCACCTGTACCACCAGCATCTCCATACGTCGTACATACAAACATACCTACCATAAATGTTAAGTGAGTGTTAAATGTATGTTTAATACCCACAATGCACACACACACACACATATTTACACTTTCAGACACATATCTGTTTGAATGTAGGTATGTACCCAAGGAATATGGATATTTGTATATGGTTTCTCACAATTTTTTTTCCGTATGCCAACCTTTTATGGTAGGAGAAGCTGATGAGAGTGGGGTACGTAACTACTTAACGTTTATTACGTCTGTCAGCTGCACGTTTATCCGTTTCGGAATGAATGTAGGAATGAATGATTGTTGTTCGCACTTCAAGGTTGTCAAGAAGCTGTGTTGGAATAAAATTTTGACTCATTTCATATGCTTAAAATTACGCTCGTCTGTTAGAGAAATTGCAATTTTTGTGTGCTGCCAATGAAACAAAGAAAGACCGACGACAGGGGGAACATATGTAAGAATTAAAACAACAGCAAGGAACTTGATATAAATAATATAATATATAAAATATAAATATATAAAAAATAATATATATAAAACATAATGATATAATATTTTTAAATTACTTATGTTTATAGTTTTTCAGAAATTAATTTCTATGGTTACTGTAAACGGCCAGGCCAAACGGAAATTAGGTACTCATCATAGTGAAGTTTAGACGATATTATTTTCGTTCGGTAACAGGATCGGAGATGGGCAACATCCTAGGCACTGCGTAATATTGAGATAAGACTGAGGGAAGGCACTTATTCTTAGCACACCCTTATTTTGTGAGTTCTACCACAAATGTCCAAATCTGACCTACATGCAGAAGGTAAAATCTTACAATAGGCGGGTAGGCGTGTGATAAGGCATACAATTCCTTCTTTTTGTATGAAAAGTATTAAAATGTATTAAAAAAACAACAAGTTAAAAAGTATCAGTCGGGATTGCCGACATATGTATACCCTCGGCCTATGTTCGATTATAGGTCCATTCATTTGTATATATATATATATATATATATATATATATATATATATATATATATATATATATATATATATATATATGTATATATATATATATGTATATATATATATATATAAATATTTCTATTAGGACCTAAATAAATTTAATATATATATATATATATATATATATATATATATATATATATATATATATATATATATATATATATATATATATTTATTTATTTAGGTCCTAATGGAAATGGGCAATATAGGTCCATTCATTTGGAACCTACTTCATAGAAGGAGCATACAATTTGAATAATCATAACACAAGTCAAAACAAAAATCATATTCATATCAGGTTTCTGGTTGAGAGAAATATTTAGGCATAGCAAGTTGCAAAGAACCGCTGAGTTGTTTCGTAAGTTATGACATATACAAGTATTGAAGATTGTCACCCTTTGTGGGTGAGGTATCAGTATGGGTTCGAAGGGGTTTATTTATTACGCTTTCGTTGAACATCTTGTTTATCAAAAGCTTGAACCCTGTTTGGGGGAGGTACCAGAAGAAACCATCTTTATAACATATCTTGGGTTTGTGGAAACATTGAGATCTACAAAGTCAGAATACAATCGGATGTTTATGTCGCGTTTTAAGTGTTTCATGGATATTCAAAATTGTGAGCCTTTGTGGGGGAATTACCAAAAGGAGTGGACCGATATATCTTCACAATAGATCTTGTGTAAGCTGAAATAATGGGATGTGTGAAATATAAAGAGAACCTAATGGTTAGTGTGGATTTTATAAACGTTTTTGTTATTCAAAACCATGACCCTTTGTGGAGGAGGTAACAGAAGGAATGGTCCGATATATACCTTCTTTAAAATAGATCATGTGTTGAAAAAAATATTCAGATGTGCCAAGTCTAAATGGAATCGGTGGTAATAAAGCGTTTTATGACCTTCATGGATATTACAAATTTTGTGGGGGAGGCACCAAAAGGAGTGGACCGATTTATTCCATATTACCACCAGATCTTGGGTTAATAAAAATATTGAGATATGGGAAATTTGAAGTCAATCGAACTCTTACATTACATTTTATAAGAGCTATTCAAAATTTTGACCTGTTGTTGGGGAGGTAATTGATGGAGCAGACCGATGTTGTCCATTTTTGCACCTGGCTGAGTGTATAATTTATTAAATACTATATATTGGATAAAAAGAATGAGCTAGAATTATGAAATTTGGAATTTGGGTCATTGATGGAGTGCAGGATAGTTATATCAAAGAATTTTAGGAAATTCTAATATGGTACTAAACTTCTAAAATAGTACCATTTGGTATTGTGTGAACGGATAGGGCTGAAAATTGAAGTTTGGAATCAAGCTTGGGAAGTAAGTTGGAAGATGGCTTTGGAAATATGTACAACAAGTGCTCAAAAAGTACAAAATCGTACCACACAATTGGAAGTGAACAGATTGTGCCCAAAGTCTGAAGTTTGGTATAAGAGTCGCTATTTATGTGCAGCCTGCATATATGGAGGACGTTTCGAAAAGTTTAACTTTAATGTACGAAAAGTACTGAATGGTACTATATTCGGTATTTTTTGAAGTAGTAGACATAAAAATCTGCATGTTGATATTTACATTATCAATGATGTACATATGTGTTTGAGATTTGGCTTAGAAAATGCGTTCTTTATTTGTACGAGAAGTACTAAATGGTACTAAATTTTGTATTGGTTGAAGAAATGCTAGAATCTTTAAATTTGATATTGATGACTCTGTTCATATGTGAAATTGACACTTGGCGGTGGTTTGGAAAACGTCATATATTTGTAAGAGTCTTAAATAGTACTAAATTTGGTATTGGATGACTCTATGTCATCCATCCCAAAATTTTGATATTGAGGTCTATATGGAGGTGCTATCGAAAATATGTATTATAATTGTACGAAAAGTTCTGAATGGTATTATATTTGGTATTGGGTTAAGGGATAGAGATACTATTCTGGTAGTGGGTCAAGGCATAGAGCTGAAATTCAGAATTTTGATATTGAGGTTCTGTTGGTTTCTAGAGTTTACCCATGGAGACATTGAAATATTATTGAACAGAAATTTTGGTTGGATCCACAATATCCGCCTCGGTAAACTTAAAAACGAAAGATTTTGAAGACTTTTTGATGTAAAAGGTTACATTTTACATATTATTCATTCCGAAAAATGAAAAACATTAATAAATTGTATGAGGTTTTGATTACAAATCTTTGCTAAACTAAACAAATTGTGCATTTTGAGTACCAAAAAGGCCTAGCACTTTTATTTTACAGAACCTTTAAAATCCTTATGTTCAAGCTCTCTCTCCATCTTTTCATTCCCTCTCTCTCTCTCTCTCTCTCTCTCTCTCTCTCTCTCGTTAAATTGATTGACCGTTTATAAAAAAATTAAAAGTACAGTGGGTTTTGTCTTTACTAAATAAATTTCAAAGAAAATCTCACATACGTTTTTATAGTGGGCTGGAACCTGCAACAGCAACCCGAACTGTTATTTAGAATAAATTTTCGGCCAAATTGACCGATTCTGTCTTCACCAAATGAGTTCATGGTGGATGAAGTTAATCAAAGTTATCTAAATTTAATGTCATAAAAAATAAATTCTTTAATTCAATTTCGAATCCTTTTTATTTGCTTTAAAGAAAAATACCCACAACATTTTAAAGCCATTTCTGGCACTGACATATATTGAAAGGAGATTTCGTTTCTTACTTCTCCACATCAAAAAAAAGTATTTTTGTTGGCCAACATCTTGTGGGTAGCCATCTAACAACCACGTCCGTTCTTTGGTCTTAATTTTGGTTTGTTGTTTTGTCTTTTGTCTTATTTTTTCGTCTTTCTTTCGACTTGGTCGATATTGTCCTTCTGATTGAATGTGGGCGATTTTTGTTGATGTTGTTATTTTGTGTGTCTCTTTTTTCCGTCAATATACTGTGATTGCGGTGAAATGTAGGCAGCCGACATTTCAAATTCAGGATGCTTTGCCAATTTCTGTTTGGATCTAGAAGTTTTCTTTATTTTCGGTCCGCTTTTTTATTTTCTTTCTGACGAAAAAAAGACTGAAATTGACATTGGTCGAAGTAAGACAAATATTGTTTTCTAATTTTAAAGTCTATACTGGTTGAGGGTAGATTGGCTTTAATTTGAATTTCCGATTAGTTGTTTACAGCAACTAATTTTAAGTGATATTGGTGGTGTTTTTTTTCTTTTTTATACCCTCCACCATACCATGGAGGGTATATTACGTTCGTAA